GAAAACAGACTAGAAAAAGGTTTAGATACCAATCATAGATGGCACAACCAGTGCTGAGGTGAAAGGAAATATCTTAAAAAAAAAACATTTCTTCTTAGAGGGTGCTTATTTACAGTCTAAAACGTATTTTAGGAATTTTTTCATTAAATTCCTCTTTAAACTTCTTTAAAGAATACAATTGTTTACAAATAATTGAATGTTATGCTACTATTTATAAAAATAAAATCAGAAATCCATTAAAAGATAAGTTCTCTATCATTTTTTTCAATTCATAAATGATTTTGCCTACTAAGAAAGTTAGTACCGGTAGTCATCGGGTTAAGTAAGAAAAATCGGCATTTTATTAATCAAAGGCAGAAAACTTAAATTTAAAGTAGGATGGACTTTTTCATATTATCAAGCACTTCTTTTATTAAAGCAATAAGAAAAAAAATTATAAATAATTTAAGTGGAAGGGAGAAGCTTTTCATAATTAAGACTGTAAACATAATCATGTAAAAGTGAATAAAAATAGAAGAAAATAATGTGATTATTGAAAATAATAGCATTAAAAAGTGTGACTTTCCATAAGAATGTTCTAAAAGTAACAGAAACAACCCGTTATTATATATAAAAAACAAAGTACTTATAATTAACAAAAATAAAAGAGAAATAACAGTTTGCTAATTTAAGGTGAACTATTTACTAATGACTTGGCATTCTTTAAAAAGTTCTAGTTGTTGAGTGTACGGTTTTAATGGTAACACAACTCTTTTTAAGATTTTGGTGATGGTGAAAAAATTTGGTTTTATAATATAAATGCAGAAGTATAAGCAGTGAATGGGTAGAGTGGTAAACCCATAGCTACATATGAGCCTTACAACCTACAACATTGTTAAATATTGACAGTTATTGCATTATTCAAAACACTTGTAACTGTTCAGTGATTTGAAATATTTGACTAAAAGAATTATCTCAAACTGTACCACAAAAAGTATAAATAGGAGTTGTGAAACTGGAATAATGCTATTGTTTGCAAGTAAATCCATTATATATTTCTGGAGAGTTAAATGAGAGAAGGAATGCACAAATTAATATGCTGGAGGTTTGTACATTACATAAAACATTAAATTTGTTTTTAACCCTGAATTCACAACATAATAAAGCCAAAGTCTCTAAAATATGTGAAAATTTTTCACATCAACAGACACTAGAAGTACTAATTTTACACTTTTGTGTTGTACAATTTAGACATCAGTCTAAAAAAAAAGTCCAAAACCAGCAACTGATTGTAATATAATTTTCAAACATGTTGTCAAAGGTGACCTATTTTGACAAGGTTCGTTTACAGTTTTGGTGTAAACCTGGCCAGAAACTTAGATATTTCAGTGCAAATAATAACCAGAAGTATATGAATAAGAGCAGTAACAAACAGTACACAAGATGTTTTAGCTTCAAGATGAATATTATTAACATCTGAATTACTGTCTTGAGACGATCCAAGAAAATTGCATCTTTTTCTTTTTGAAGAAGTAGTGGCTTCTTTCCTGTATTTATTTCTGGTTTTCTTTGTATTATTTTTTTCCAATCTTTTTGTACTCCTCTCCTTAATAACCTTTTAACCATGGTCATACCTACATTGATGACTTCATTTATTTTACTTGAAATGCTTTTCACTAACAGGAGGCATAGGGTCATCATTTGTTTCCATCTCAGTCTATGTTTTCTATGCTGTAAAATATGAAATAGCACAGGAAAAAAGCATCCATTTGGCCAGAAAACAGGAAGATAATGAACCCCCCCCCCAGTGCTTTTGTCTTAGTATATTGGAAACCATAAGGTCCCCGAATCCATAGTTTCAGCATATTTTTAGTAAATGGGGAAAATTTATTGGATATTACATACACCAGACCTGTTGCTAATCTGAGCATGATTAAGTTGCAAAAAGATATTACACTTTAATGTATTTTCATTCAGATAATTTTATCATAATGAAATTCTATTATTAGACTTGTAGGAAGTTTTCATTATAAGTGACATTTATCTTCTAAATGGGGGGGGGGGATTGTTTAAATACATTGCAGTTAAAAGTTAAAGGTCAAATTTTATTTCATGTATTTTTCTGTAATTTAGTTTAGACAGCTTTTTACATCTTAAACAATATTCCAAGAACTATTTTCCAAAAATATAGAAAAGGTATATTTGGAGAACATCACTTATTGTGTAGTTCTTTATAAAGTTGTTTGACAGAAGTTAAAAAACACCAATGAATAAGTAATATACAAACTATGTAGAGCTTTTGGAAATACTTGTAAAAAAAAAAAAAGTTTTCTGAACTATTATAAAATGGCTTATTTAAACTGATTTTATTACTTCATGAATTGCTAGATATTTTCGAAAAGCAAGGTTTATTAGAATACAACTACTCATTATATTGAGACAGAGTACACTAGCTGTGGATTCGTTTCACATAATAAAAAGTACATTTCCTGCAAGTATTGCTGATAAGCTTTAATGTCATATACTGTGTTATGTGGAGAGTTTGAAGCTTGAAAAAAAAAAATTATGATGATTCTTTTTGTTTACAAGTTTCATTATCATTGTTTCAAACAGAAATTAGAACTTTACTACATACAATGTTTACTAGTTATATTTCATAACATTAAATGAAAAGCAAAAATACCATAGTTCATAAAAATTACTCTGGGTATTATGCCACTATTTTAGTTTATGATGTGACAATATGCTTTTGATGAAACTGACAGTTTTTGTTTTTTAGGATTTTAGAAGTTTGGAAGTGTGATGTATCAAAGTGAGACTTGGAATGGAAAATTTCGAAGATCAACTAAAAAAATAGTTTCCATGGATGTTATAATTTAAATGTTCGAGAAGTTTTACTAAAGCTTAACTATTTATAATTCTAGTGAAAAAATCAGTTTTTACCAAAACAAGTTGCAAATTTAAGGTTACTGTTAAAATAATCTTTTTTCACTAATTTTATGGATAGCAAGTGTCAAACATTGAAAACAAATTCAATGAAATTTTAATGTGTGATTGAATAATTTGGTTTCCATATTAAGAATAGACAGAAGGATAACCATGAAAGCCCATAAAGTAGGAAATGTATACTATATATAACTAAGAGCTGTAGTTCAAACAAGCATTAAGAAACACTGAACAAGTGAGTTTGTAATTGATGATGACTGATTTGTACAATGTATTAAGTAATTAGTGTAATAAATTTGTTTTCAAATAGTCACAGTATGCACCACAAATCACTGAAAACCTTTAATCAATGTGTACAAATCTCAGAAATTGAAACCAAAATAAAAGTATGAAGAAACAGCATTAAATGAATGAACCACTTCCCTTGATTTATTTTACATAACAATCCACAAGTAAAACACAGATATTTACACTTACACTAACTTCCCAAATTTTGGGAGCTGATAAGTTTAAACTTAATGTATTGTTACCTCAGATGTATATATTATTGCAAAGAAAGGGCATTAAAAGGAATTCAAATCAGATGTTTAACAACAACATTACAACTTCAATACAGCTGTTTCAGAATACATCCTTAAACTGTATAGAATAGATAAATCTCGGCTGACAAAAAGGCTTGTCACTCATTTTAATGTCAGTAAACATAACTGGCAATTCTAATTACTTGTTAATCTTTCTTTGCGAGTACATAACCTCTTAAAGCTGAGATAATTTTATATTAATAAAGAGTAATAAATAACTTCTTCAAATAAGATTTTACTTTAACATCTCTGGAAAGGACTTAGCAGTTGACAAGTTTATTATTTATCAGCCATTTACATAGTAAAATAAACTAATGCTAAAGTATTAATGTTTAGTTTTTTAAACTATGATGTAAATTTGAATCATCATGCTTACATTACTACCACTGTATTTAAAAGAGTTTCTTTATTAGCAATACCTTTTATGATTTATATTTGCTGCATATAAGAATAATACATGGATAGCAAGAGATATTAGTAGAATATACGACCAATATTTGAAAAAAACTAACCTTTGTAGTCTTCATTCTTAAGTCACCAATAACATTGTCAAATTTAGTTTTATTAGGATATTAGCTGTTGACAACTAAAACTCAAAGCTATTTGCCCATTATGTGTTTTAATCTTATTAAATATAGTGCAGAAACATAAAAGTATAATTTACTTAAAAGTTTTCCCAAGACTACTACATGTTTTATAATCCTCGCACCACTTAATTATTTCAAAGTTCAAAAGCACTTCTGCTTGTGGCTAGTTATTAAAACATTTCACAATAATACTGTTTAAATAATCTTGCCATATTTAGTAACTTGACAGCTGGTGTATAATCTAAAAATAGCATTTTTTATGATTTAAAACATTTTATAGGATAAGTTTTTAATTAGTAGAAATTGAATTCAATAGCAAATAATTCAGATTACCAATCAATGTTTTGGTATTTTTGAATATACCACAAAAGTGGTTAACTTCTTTGTAGAAAAAATAAAGTTTGATAGTTAGTTAATACTGAAATACACAAGCTATAAATATCACTTTAATCATGATACAATAACACTTTCACTCTAAATGACAATATTTTGTAGCATGAAGTTTTTAGAAGACCCATTATATAACAAGTTCTTTAAAGATACTTTCTAGCATAGTATTAATATAAACTACAGTGTGATCTGTTCAGAAGTACTGTTTAAAAAAACATTAAACTTACTTTATTGGCTCTATTAAACTTTCAAGTGTTTCAGTTATGTTGCATGTGTCCAATATTGGTATTTACTTTAATGAAAAACTATGTTTACTTCCCAAAGAACTATTTAACTGCTACTCCTGTCGGTATGCTTCTGTTACTAGTATGAAGTTAAGCCATAAAGGAGCATTTTTAGTAAAAATGAAGTAAAAACAAAAAACTATTTTTCTGATACATCCTGCTACACATGGAATGTCTTAACTGTTATTATAGGAGCTTTGTTATACTAAGTTCTTACCTATTACAGAAGATAATTCTTAGAGCACTAAGAGATATAACTTGAAATCTCTCATATGCTTGTCGTGTATTTTAAGTCTTTAGGATACTTGTACGTATTTAACAATAACTCGGTGTGTATACTTGTAGGGTAGCACAGACTATTATTATTTCTTTGTAAAAGGGGAGGCACTTACAAACCCAGATAAAGGAGGGGGACCAACTGGTTTATTCACAGGAGGGGGTTGTGAAAACTGTAGAGGTGCTGTGGAGGTGTTTAGCATAGACGCAAAAGCAGGTGGTGCTGCAAGGTCTGAAGCTGTTGAGGACTGAAGAGGTGGTAGGGGAGGTCTTGCAATGGCGGGGTTATACAAAGGAATCTTCTGTGGTGTTGGTGGACCTTGTCTCTTTGGCCGAATTCCTTGGAGTGCATAAAGCTCTCGTAGAATCATAAGCACTGTATCTTCAGACTCCCTGCAAGAAATTAATCACGAATTAAAAAGATTCAATGACAGTAAATTAAGTATTTCGCCAACATAATTACAGGTCAGTTTACCCAAACAGTAGCACCCATGACCATATGCTATGTCATTTTTTATGATCCATAAATACATAACTATGTGTGCACAAAGTGTGATGATACTTACTCTCACTGTGATCAATTAACTCTTTCAGCACGGGTTTCAGTCCCTTGGACCGACCACATAACTATTTTGTACTTGTTATAGTTTTCATGCTATAACTTTTAAATTAGTATGCGTATGTTCACGAAAGTTGGCAGATTCTCAGTAAACATTACAAGGTTTTTCATACGTAAGATATCAGAGTTTTTTTATTAAGTCTTAAGGTTTGTTAAGCAATGTTTTTCTCATGCCTTTTTTCTTTTCACATGGTGCCTATCCAACATGAAAAGTAATTATAATTTTAAGATTAAAAATACTTTTGTGCATCAGAAGATTTTGAAGTTTCATATGCGAAATCTTTATAATATGTAGATGATAATTATTAAATGTTTCTTAAGAAAAAACTATATTTTGTCTGTTATTTTCAGTAATTAATCTCTGTACGGGTTTGGTAGATTTGACCAATCCTGCAACTATCATAAAAAATTAATAAATAAATTATGCCTCTTTCATTCTAGAATTAACACAAATTATAACATGAAAACATAGATGTTTAGACTAAATAGCTTAAATCTCATAACATTATGCATTTATATATGTTTATTATTTTTATTATATTGACCTTTTAACCATGCCTGGCTATCAATACAGAAGTTACAATGACACGGCTCACGTGCACTCATGATACCATATCCAATAACATAAAACTGACTGTTAGTCTTCACAAGTGACCTGTCTTGGCTGTGTTTTAGTGGACTAGTATTTTGTAAAATACAGTCACATTTCAATTACTATACATTAAATATTTTATAGATTATTACTACTTACAAATAACTTCTTAAACTTATTGTTCTTAAAAAATAGAACAGTAGAAAAAAGAAGTAATTCAAACAATTATCTCTTTTTAGTTACGAACTTTGTACTCATTTTCTGCTTGCCGTAGGTTGCAAAGCCTTATCAAATTTTGTATGTGGAGGATGTGAAACAAAATAATTTTTTTTAGGTTTTATATTTACATTTGAAATAACCAAAAATCATAAATTACTATATAAATACCATAGAATTCCACTATAATTTATTAAACTTTGTAATTCAGTTGTATTTGGGTTTAAAAAAATATGAAATTTCGAATGTTCTAAAGACTCACCTTACCAGCTTGAATATTTGTATCAAAAGGAAGAGATGATGTTGTAATACTTGAAAATGGCCACTTGGGGGACATTTTGAGCTTTTGATTGGTTATTCACATGTCATAGACAGAAGTAAAGTGTATATAAGGAAGCACTTCTAAAAATGGAAAGAGGTGAGCAGTGCCACTGTGTTTGATTCAGTACATGAGCCATATCTCAGAAAAGATAGGAAGTTCTTATTTTATATTCTAGCTTGTTAATATCAGTAATTTGAGTTCCTAACTCGTACACAACTATAGACTTAGTATTTTGACATCACAAACATCTAATTTGAACCAGTGCTGCATTGAACATACCACGTGACACACAAAAATCAATTTTTATCTGTTTTTTTTAATATTTACTTTTAAATTAAGAAATTGAGTAGTAATGTATAGTTCTAAAATTTGAATTATAATCTATAGTTTGATACCAAACTTATTGACATAAATTCATGAAATATTAGTTCAATAAAATTTTTAATGCAAGTCAACAAACACGATGACTTGAGCTTGACCCGTGACCCTTCTGGAAAGGATTAATACTACTGCAGAGTTTACCTAGACCAGGTAAGGAAGCACTTATAACTTACTTAGATAGCCAGTTAAATTATAGTGGTGTTAGTTCATTATATTTCTTGCAGTTTAACTCTGTCGCCACAGGCTTCTTTTCCTGCATATGTCATGAGGTTTTAGTGACTTACATTAAAAGTTTTATTAATCTACTTTTTGTTTACATTATACCAATTAGTATAGCAGAAAGTCTTAGCAAATAACCCATATTTTGATAGCATAAAAGTTTTAAGTTCTTAATTTTATAAGACAATATTTTAAAAAATCCTGAATTTCCCCTTGTGTGACATTTTCTGTAGGCATCTCCTCTTCTCTATTTTATCCACCACCCCTCCAATATGTATGAAATTCAAAGTAAATTACTCACTATAAAATCATCATTGCTCAGACAAACTATAATTTTTATAGTCTTCAATACTGTTTGGTTACAGAAGCCATCAAATAGAAAATCAGACCACTCTTGCCACACCCACCTGTCACATAATCTCTCTTTCAGGATTTGTTAATAGTTCTCCTTTACATTTAATTCTGTGTTCCATCTATCAAATGACATATTATATAACGTTGTTTTCTGCATGGAGAATTGTCAATTTCACTGTTAGTACAAGCTTCGTTCCCACGGGAAAGATAACAACTAACTTGGATGATTTTGTAACGGTTCTTCTTGCACAGTTAAAAATCCAGAAAATTGTGATAGTTAGGGGAAGTTGTCTACTTTTTGCATGTTAATATTCTATGTTCTTTGGTGCTTTATTTAATTAAATAAAAATTATTTAGAATAGTAGTAAAAGAAAGTAGGCTTAAGTTTCATTGATTCATTGACAGTAAAAAACAAAGTGGATGCTGGTAAGTACTATATTTGTTGTTTTTCATGTTTATTCTCTATTTATTATAAAAATAACTAAAATGTAAAAATTAGAACTTATTAGGTTAGATGGAGTTAGATTAGGTAAGATAATGAAAAATAATAATAAAACTTCACGTATTACGTAATTTGATCTGGTAACATAGCCTACATTTTTGACGAGTGATTTACAACTTGCATACAAGGATTATTAGTTAGACATATTCAAATGCAATAAAAAAAATTAAGTATAAACAGATGTATGCTGTTACAAGCTTTAAGCTTTTTAGGATGAACAATTGTAGTTTCATGTTACAATTCGCAATCATTCTAGAAAGAAAGATAGAAAAAGGGTATTTTCTATGGTGATTAATATTTTTCAGACAAATTGATATTTATTTAGAGATTATGCAAATAAAATTTCCCTATTTTCAGATAAAGAAAAGTATTTTCAATATTTACATGAAAATCACTTTGCACTTGGAGCAGTCAACTCTCTTACTCCATATATTCATGTAAACATTTTTAGTAAAGATAATTAATTAAAAAATCTGATTTTTTGCACACACAGGACTTGTAATATTTACTGAAAGCTTGCAAATTTCGTGAAGCTACACAAAACATAGTATGGAAACTCTGATAGTCACTTGGGGTCACAAACTCAGTCAAATTGACCAAGTCATATAATTAGGCAGGAAAAATAATTGTACAATATTTCACTCACTGAAATAGTTAGTCCTTCAGTTGAAAGGTTTACCAGTTTATGCCTAAGGAAAGCATTTAAGTTTTATTTTGCTCTGAGCAGACAATAGCATCAAAACATCATAAAAGTAAAACTGACATTAGTTTCTCTATGGATCTACACAGCGTGGTCACAAGTAAATAAACACCACCTTTTCAGAAAAAATGAAATTTTTCAGTCATATTCACATGAATTGATATACTTATAATTTAATTAATATCTAGTAGATCTTCCTTTTGCTTCGTGGAGTTCGTTGATCCTTTGGGACATCGTGAGAATCATCTCGTCAATTTTAGATTGTGGGATTTTCACCCACTCTTGCTTCAAAACTTGGAGTAGATCGCTCTTCGAAGTTGGTTTTTTAGTTATTTCTAGACTTGCCGGTCGAGTATGGCCCAGAGGTTTTCAATGGAGCCATGTCAGGAGATTGGCTCGGCCAGGGCAACTTCTGGATACCATTTTCTTCCTGCCACTTTTGGGTGTTTCTAGCAGTGTGACACGGTGCTCCATCTTCCTGTAACAAACGTTATGTTCTTGTCCACGAAACCCGAGGAATAAAGTGGCAAGAGTCCTTCCTCCAATATTTCGACGTATATCGCAAAATTTATGTTGCCAACGCACTCCACTAAGCTCGATCTCCCATCAACTCAAACAGCTCCCCAAACCATCACGCTGAAACCACCATGCTTCACAGTTGGCTGCAATCTGTTGAGCCAAAACTCTTGGTGAGGCATTCTTCAGACCCATATACTTCCATGGTCCGAAAATTGAGCGAATCTTGATTCGTCTGAGAAAAATACGGTCTTCCAAAAGTCCAGAGGCTTGGTCATCATATCACTTGCCCACTTCTTTCGTCTGACTATGTTGGCAGGTCTTAATAAGGGCTTCCGTCTAGCTGCTCTGCAACGATGACCCAATTTGTGGAGAATCCGTTGAACAGATTTCGGGCTCATCCCACCAATATTGGCCACTTCTGCAGTCGTTAATCTGGGATCCATTTCGATGCTCCTCTTGACACTGACAAGAAGAGCAATGATTTAGATGTCTGGTAGAGGAAC